TAATATGCATGTTGTCAACTGAGCGTTTAACGAATTATTTTTTCAAAGATAAAAACCATTTGAATATTTTGTGTAGAAACCAGGAAGTTTGTTGTACAGGAGGTGATGAACTGAGGCAGACTGACTCTGAAGCTAATACAGCTTCGGATTCACAGCCGCTTTTAAGGCTGGTGGGAGAGGCTCTAATTATGTGTCCGAATGCTTTAGTAAAATTTGCAAAAGTAGTGTATTTCAATTGTAACCATTTAAACTTGCTGTCTCTCTCTATTCTGGCCCCCTGTCAAATTTCCCATCACTCTGGTGGTGAGCATTTTTGAGATGAAGCTAAGAGAAGTTGAATGGGGAATACTTTAATTTGGGTTTAGTGAGTTATACCTATGAGGCTTGTAATCAGTTCCCTGTACTTAGATTATTGCTAGCTGTCCCCATAAAGGAAAGGCTTCCAGGTGTGATATGAAGGTGTCACAGGTCATGTGCTCTATGGGTCATCTCCATATTCTAGTTGGAGAAAAAGCAGTCTCTCCTTACCTCCAGTTGTTGACCACTTTGGTATTTTGTAACGCTTTGTTTTCTCTTTCAGTTGTGTCTCACAAGTGGCATATTTTAAACACATATGATGGGTTCAAATTTCTGTAGAGTTCTACTTCTTTAAAGCATCTAAGCGTAATGTTTCCCATTAGCAAGCTGCTTAAGTCTCGTAACATGAGTACCTCAACATTCAGGTTCTAAAATTTTTCATGGGCTAGAAGAGAAACTCAAACATAGGGATGTAAAAAAGTTTATTCAAAGAGTTGATAAAGCTTGATTGTGTTACTTGAATTGCAATTTGGAAAGACATTTTGGGACATTATACTAAAACAAGTGAGAAATTACAGACTTGTTTGGATATATTCAAAGAGTTCCTTCTTTTATTATCTATACTTAATTATTAAAGAATTCAGAGAAAACTCAGATAAAAATTAATGTAATATGAAACAGAAGAGATAAAGATTAGAACTGACATCAGTAGAAATTAATCTGACATCTAAGAGCAAATAGCAACTTTTCCCCCCAAATCATTCCAAAAGTAAAATTTTTTAAGAAAAAAAAGACAAATTTCAAGTATAAGTAATGAATAGGCTCCTGGATTTTTTGATAATCTAATTAATGAAAAGGAGTGAATCATATGAACATATTGAGAAACGATATAAATTTCTGGCTGGTTTGAGACACACCACTGACATTAATAAAGATAATGTAAAACTTATAACACATTACTAACTAGTTAATGAGAGTCATCAATTCAAGGAATATTTAAGATTAGTCACTGTGCACAAAAACTTGAATCCTTGTAACCTTACAGACTATATAAAAAAGAAATTTGATAAAGGTTTTTCCAAATTTGACTACAATCCTAAAAAAATACACATTGCACTACTACTCATAAGTAGGACATTTTTACAAATTATTTATAATTAAAAACAATTTTCAAATGGTCATTTTGGAGAAAAAACTGGATTTTTAAAATTCTATTATCTTCGTAGAAAATGATACTTTAAATCATAATATGAAGAGGTACTAAAAGAGTATGTAATCAAAAAATGTACAAAAACAAGTATTACAGAAGTGTCAAGCAGTTAACTGATAAATGTAATTATTTAAATGTTTTATTTTTGTTGCATTTATAGATATCAAAGAATTTTTAAATCATTGTGATTTATTTTCTCACTTTAAGTAAATACGCACTTTCACACCAGATTTTGTATTCTTTCTCTTAAAGAGGGATCTCAAATTGTATACGCTTCAGACCCCACCCTTTGGTACTGATGTTTGATCTGAAAAAATGTTGCCAGATCAATATACTTTTTATTGTTTGTTTTTTTGGCCAGGCAAAAGGCATGAGATTTGCATCTCCTGATTGGGCCATGGACAAGAGTGTTTGCATCTCCTGGCAGTCTCTCTTCAGGTCAAGTGAACTGGCAGAATACCTCCAGCAGTGCCATTTGCAGCCCTGGGTAAGAGCTTTCCCTCAATAAACAATGCTGTGAAATGTAATCCCACATTGTGTATTGTTAGAATTGTTTTCTGTGCTGCCTGACTTGACTAAGAGTTAGGAAATGTATATTTGCCAACATCAAGAAATGGCGTTTCAAATTCCATTCATCTGGGTAGTCTTTAAAATCCTTCTATTGAAAGGTTTGTGGCCCATGGAGGCAAAGGTTGTTTGTGGGAAGAGCAGCTGTGTAACAGGGAGTCTGAAGAATAAGAAGAGAGGTCTTGGTCCCCTTGCATGGGCAGGGGGCAGTGAATACCATGCACAAGGGATGCCACTTTCCACTTCACCATCTGTATGGTCCCTAGAATTAGCTATTCCAGAGTCAGAAAAACTGCTTGGGAAAGTGGTTTGAAATAATCATTAAAACAACAACGCTTAGGCCCTGCGTGGTGGCTCATGCCTGTAATCCTAGCTCTCTGGGAGGCCGAGGTGGGCGGATTGTTTGAGTTTAGGAGTTCAAAACCAACCTGAGCAAGAGCGAGACCCTGTCTCTACTATAAATAGGAAGAAATTAATTGGCCAACTAATATATATAGAAAAAATTAGCCGGGCATGGTGGCGCATGCCTGTAGTCCCAGCTACTTGGGAGGCTGAGGCAGAAGGATCCCTTGAGCCCAGGAGTTTGAGGTTGCTGTGAGCTAGGCTGACGCCACGGCACTCACTCTAGCCTGGGCAACAAAGTGAGACTCTGTCTCAAAAAATAAAACCAAAAACAATGCTTATTGGACCCCTACCACATGTCTGGAATTGAACCTGGTACTGTGAATATATGGATAACCTACATAGTGGTCTAGCCCCTTAAGGAGCTAAATAACTAATTGGGAAGACAGGAAGTATGCATAGGAATAAATTTTAGGACTAACCTTATGAAATTGTCTTCTTATTATAGGTCAATCATAGCTATTTCATAGGATTGGCAATTTCATATGATTGAATATCAGTGGTTTCATATGGCTCAACATGAATAGCTAGAAAGGTATTATTTTTCCTTTTGGTGGGCCAGTTCTTCACAATGTAGGACCAAACACCCAATTTGGTATGTTTAATATTTCTGGCACCTGAATGATACATGTCAGAAGTATCACCCAGTCACTGTGATAAATGATCAAGCAAACTCTTCTATACATTTCCAAATGCAGGGGGTGAGAGTCAGAGGAGATGGTGGTGAGATGGCATCTGTCATTTAAAAATCCTTGAAATTGTTACAGAAATAAATTCAGGCTTGGCTGATCAAAACATATCCCCAGAGGAGGTGGGACTTGAGCTAGAAACTGAAGGGAGGGTGGACTTACTTAGGTAAAGGGTGTATGAGAGTTCATTCTTCCCTTTACACTTGTAAAAGTGAAGAGTATGGAATGGAATTGCTGAGTTCAGGTAGGAAGGAAAAGAAAAAGGAAAAGAATAGTACAATTTTGGTGAAGGGAATTGGGGATAGGAAAGGGAAAGTGAGCTATGAGGTTAAAAAAAATTCAAAAGTAGATTAAAGGTCAACCCATGAAGGTCCTTGAGTGATCTTAGATGTTATTCTGAAGATACTGGCCATTCCTGGAAGACTCAGGGAAGAATGTTTCAGGAAAGCTCCAATGGGCCCTTGCTTTCTGCATTCTATATGCCTCCTAGAATCCACCTTCTAACAATTGGAAATCTGCACACAGAGGGAGTTGGGATGGCTGCTGTATTCTAAGAGAGCACATCAAATCTGGGGGGTTCAGCAGTTCTCCAAAGGGGTGAAAGATCAGCTCCAACCCTGTCTTAGAAAAACAGCAATAACAATTGCTTAGAAAGAATCATTTGCTTATGAACACCTGCATTTGTGCTTTCATGCAATGCTTATGTGTTTGCATGTGTCTTCGAAATCTTAGATTCAAAGATTAAGCCTAAGAAAAACCAGGAAACATAAAAGAATTACTGTAGTTCAGAAGTATTATGAATACTGTCTGGTCTATAGAACAGCAAGACACATCTGATGTCTTCTACATCAACCAAGTTCCAAGCTGCTAGGTGTATCCGCTTCACACAGCCTTGTTTCCTGTGTGTTTGCACGACACACCTCAGGAATGTTGGTGGGAAGCCCCGTAATATAACCATTCTGAAAATGCAGCACCACTGTAATAATCTAGATCTTTTGAAAGACAACCGATGCGAATAAAAATGATGCATACACAATAATATTAATATCAAAAGTAAATAATACCACTGGTGGTGATAAGTGCTGTGAAAATAGAAAACAGTTTAAGAGGAAGAGAAATGAATGGATGTTTGCCTTCTAAAACAGGGTGCATTTGTAAATGTTTGGAAATCCAGTTTCATGTAGGGATTATTCACCTGTCTCATCATCTTCTCAAGGTCTTTAAATAACAGGATCAACTTTAAGGAAAAACAAACTCCTCAAAACCTTCACCAGCCGTCAGGAAAGCACGTGTATACAGCCTGTACTATGCAGTTTAGCCATTAATTCCATGTGCCTCACTTTATTTTATACCGTTTTCTGCCTCCACCGTGTGTGTGTGTGTGTGTGTGTGTGTGTGTGTGTGTGTGCGCTCAAAATAGATCTCAAGCTCCTTGAAGGCAAGAACTGCGCCCAGCACTCCGAAAGCACGGTCTATGAAAGCGAAGGCAGGTCTGGGAAAAATAAAGCCAGGGTCTTCCCATTTCCAGTGGCAGCTCCGCCTCGGAGGCTCTTTCCGCAGCCCAGCGCGGCCGCCCACCGAGGGGGGCACTGTCTCGCCCCCCCACCGCACAACCCACCCCCCACCCCGCGCAGCCTCCCTCGCTGCTGTTCCCCGCGGCGGCCGGGAGGAGGCGCCACGGACTCGGGTTAAGCCTTTCCCCCCTTCCTTCCCCCTTCCTACCCCACTTCCCCCGGCACATGACGTGGGAAGCTGCCTCCGCCAGAGTCTTAGCAATAGGAGTGAGGGGGTGCAGGGGTTCGGGGGTGGGGTGGGGTGGGGGGTGTGGAGAGAGAGGGCACGCGCGCACACGCCCCCCCGGGAGGGGAGCGGAGACATCCTCCCCAGCCTCGTGGGTTTCTCCTCCCACCAGAGCCCGGGTGTGAGAGGTAGGTAGGTGTGTGTGCGGGGGGGGGGGGCACGTTTTCCAGTGTGAGACCCAAATCCAGACCAGGCAACCTGTGCTCTCCCCGCCCTCCCCCCGTCCCCGGTGATTAATACCGTTTTTTGCTCTCCCCCTCCTCCCCTCCTCCTCTTCCTCTCCCGCTGCCGCGCGGTTGACTTGCACAGCCGGCCCCCGCCCGCTTCCCTTCCTCCGGCTCCCAGCATCACCAACTGGAATCTGGGCTCCTGCCTCTCCACCCCCCAGCTTTTTTTTTTTTTTTTGAGAAAGGAAGGTCCCCCCACCCCCTTTCAAACACCACTTCCTTCGGCTTCTTCACCTCTAGGAAATCTCGGGGCTTCGCTCTACCGAAAGTGCTCGCCAGGGTGGTTCTCGAGCACCACGATCCCGAAGTGCCGGCGTCCGAGTGCACGTCCTTCGGCTTTGCAAAGAAGAGTCGTGAACTTCAGAAGCCCCGAGACGGATCATTAATCCTGCTTTGCAGGAGAGGAAACCCCTCCATCCCCCGCCAGCGGCCGCCCCTCTCCGGAGACCGCAATCGCCGAGGCGCCCGGAGCCGGTACGTGAATATTCGCTCTGGAGTCTCTCGTTTGGATTTGCGGGTTTGGGGGTGTCAGGCAGATAAAGGGTCGAAGCAGCGAAACCGTGAACCAACCTGGTGTTAGGTAAAGCTCTTAAATCCAGCGGCACCCGGCACTTGCTAATTTGGACGTGGCTTTTTTTTTTTTTTTGCTGGGGGGGAGGGGTGGAGGAGGAGGGGGGAGGGTTGTCTCTGGTCTTTTTTAGGGGCTCAATCCCCTCACCTAGCAGCGGCTGGGCAGCGGTGCCCCGGGCCGGAGCCGCGCGCGCGGCCATCCGTCCGATCGACACGTTGCAGGTGAAGCCCGTGCGCTGCACACCGGCGCGGCGGCGGCGTGAGTGTGCGCGGGGGTGAGTGTGCGCGGGGGTGAGTGTGAGTGCGCGCGCGGGGCGCGTGCGCGTCGGGGGCGTGTGTGTGTGCGCGTGTCAGTGTGCCCCTTCCAAGAAATGCCCAGTGTGCACCCCGTGCACAATCAGAACCCATTCAGCACCAGCCCGGGGTGGGAGGAGGCGCTGCTGCCGGAGGCGATGGGGAGAGCGAGACAGACATGTCAGCAGCAATGCAGATGGGGCTGGGGGCCGCACTTGCTGGCGAGTTAAGTGGGGATTGTGTTTCTGCTTGTGTGTGTGAGTGTGTGTCGCTCCGTGGTGCCTCTTCTCCCTGCTTTCCTCCTTCCTTCCCACTTCCCTCCTTCGCTCCCTCCCTCCCTCTCTCCTCTTCCATTCAGGTTGGCTTTCCCACCTCTCATCCATGCCTGTCCCAGGAATGGTATAGCCAGACCTTTTCTGAATTATTTATAGACCGGTACCAGCTGTTTTCAATTCCTCTCGTGTGCACTCTGTGGGAAATGCGGGGTTTCCTCCCCCCTTTTCCTTAAAACGAATTGATATCTTTTTCGGAATGCATTTTTCTCACCCTCCGGGGGACACTCCAATCAAACCCTGACCGCCTCTTTTTCCCCCTTAGGAAGGGGACGCTTTGGGAATGACCATGCCCCACGGAGGGACGGAGCCGGCCCCCAGCTTCTCTACACAGAGCCTCCTCCACTGAAGCTCCGAAAATCAAAAACCATAATTGCCAGAAGAATCATTCAAAATATATTCCAGCCACTAACCTCACATGCACACGGAATAATTACTCTGGATTCTGCATTGTGAGCTGCTCTCCACACCCTGAGTTATCTTTGAATTAAATCTTTTTTCTTTGAATCTGCATCTCTTCGAGACACAAGATTAAAACAAAATTTACGCTAAATTGGATTTTAAATTATCTTCCGTTCATTTATCCTTCGTCTTTCTTATGTGGATATGCAAGCGAGAAGAGACTGGACATTCCCAACATGCTCACTCCCTTAATCTGTCGGTCTAGAGGTTTGGCTTCTGCAAACCAAGGTAGGGCAAATTCTGTTTTATTTTTTCCTCACCTGGGGTAGGGATTCCTTGTTTTATCATTCTCTTGGAGTCTCTCAAGTGGATCTTTTGGGAAGAAAAGGTCACAAGATATTAAAATAATGCTGTTTTGGGGAAAAGGCTTATTGCAAAGAGGGAAATCTCCCATGTTATTTCTTTTCTTTCTCTCATCTAACAGGTTTTGGGTTTTGGGGGGGCAGTGGGGGTGGGGGTATGTAGGCACAAAAGATGTTGGATGGCATAAGGGATATATGTGTGTGTGTGTGTGTGTGTGTGTGTGTGTGTGTGTATGCATGCAAACACAGCCAGCCAGGAGACCTGTGTGATTTTCGATTTAAATAGCATTTTATTCACCCAGAGACAAGGCTCTGATTTTTATGGGAATCTAGAAATCTTTTTTTTCCCCCCCAGGCTGGATTTTTCACCTTCGTGCCTCTCTCTCTGTCTCCTGTCTTTACCTTCCTAGGCATCCTTTCTATGCCCTTAAAAAAAAAAATAATGATTGAGATCATTGTGGTGGTTGTCCTGAAATCCACTTGCTGTCTAAAGGGTTTACACTGGGCCCAGTGATCCCGGGAGGCCTATTGCAGAGGGGCAGGTCTAGGTGGGGAATCGGGCTGCTCTAAGAACATCTGGAATTGAAGGATGCTGCAGGTTAAGAGGACTTAAATCTTAAGCTCAGAAAGAAGGAATTCTGTCAATATACTGCTTTTAATTTGTATTTTTTGAGTGCTATTATTTTTGAGCTGTAAATTTCTCCTTCTGTCTACACATCTATTTATACCCACACATCCTCCAAGCAAACTGTTACTTCCACACTCTTGCAAAATGGCTATCTTGCAGAGTTCTAAAATGCTGTGCATGTGGAAGGGGTGCAGAATTCGACACGTGAGTCTTTGTGTTAAACAAAGAGATGTGCTGTTTGCATGTGTTAGTCTTGTATCCTCAAAAATAGAATTAGCACTTTAATTTTTTCCCTTTCATTAATTTTTATAATATGTGAAATGTGGTTAGGCAATATTTTAATGTACTTGGAAGGAGAGATAGCAGGAGAAATGGAAAAGACTTAGCTAATGACTCTTCAGCTAGTCACTCATGCAATCCAAGACAACTCCTGAGAAAATCAGATCATCCGTGGGTTGGAGGGCCATGATGGTGAGTGCAGGACTCTTCCCTTTGCTCCACTGACCATGCATCCCCAAAATCCTAAGGCATCCAAATGCAGCAATCAGGTTGGGATGAAGATCTTCAAAAATGTGTAGCAGAATCATTAGCATCAATAGTCTTTCTAAAAGTATCCCCTCCCCAATCTTTTTCCTGGCATTTTTTTTATAACAATCCTTTGAAACAATCCAAAATACTAAAAGGCTGTGGGGGCAGTGGTGGATGGTCCTTGTCACTCAACATGACAGTAGATGATAGTTCTTTATTGTCCAGAAAGGATGGATGTAATCCAAATTCACTGCCCTCCTCTCCTAGGTTCCACTCTTCTGAGCTTTGATCGCTGAAATGCTAATCTGTAACCATGGTGTAATCAGAGTGAGCGGGTGGGACCCCTCTTTGAACCATGTTTTCCCCATGTCTACAAATAGCTGAGGTTATCTGGTGTGTGCTCACCTTAGAGACACCTGAGCTGGTTCTCCATCTGCTTCTGCTCCTTCGAGTAGGAGGATGAACTCTTAATTTTACTTCAAAATAGAACAGAGGTATGGGTGAGAAAGGCAGCTCCATGTGCAGTGATTTCATACATCCAGGTAGACAAGGAGAGGAGGGTATCCACAGGGCACATGGCCCCTTTTGCATCCCTAGTGCCTGTGATACTGGTACTCTACATCCAGTAGGTCCTTCGGAATGTCTGTTGGTGATGGGGTTGACAAGGAGGCCTTTTGACAGGGTCTCAGCCAGCTCATTTGAATACCAATGGATTAAGCTGGGTTCCAGGCTGTCATTAGTTGGCCCTAAGACTAGACAAAGAAGAAGAGGTTAAAAGGGGAGGGTGTTGAGGAAGAGAAGAAAAAGTAGGTGGGAGAGCTATAAAGAGAAGGGAGAGGTAGTCCAGCTGGAATGGGCTTGTTAGGACCCAAGGAGGAATTGCCACAGGTGGGCTGTACCTTTTTGGCATCCAGGGCCATTTTGGAGACCCTGGTAGGAGGCAGGTGTTGCCCATCCTCGAGGACATCCTCCATAAGGCTGTGACTCAGTGGTGTTCTGGGCTGTCTCGGGGCCATTGTTCTCTCTCTTTTTTCCCCTCACAGCACAAAGACCTGACTGGGTTCTATTTTGTCTTTTCTCCTTCTGCCACCCGCCCCCCACCCCCCACACAGTGTGGGTTACATGGGAAAGAAATGTGGCTGCTGGTGGGAGGAAGAGCAAATTTAATTTCAATTGAGGAGCCTCCATGATATGCAATTAAGAAAAAAAAAAGGGGGGGGTAATAAAAAAGACTTCCCAGGAAAACACAGTTAAGGATGTTAGGTTGGTGATTTCAAGGAAAGCAGAACATCATGGCTATCTTTGTATGTGTGTGTCTCAGGTGTGGAAAAGCATGATGGATCTGTGAACACAGAGCGATATGGCCGTTTAAGTATAGATGTTAACATGCAAGGAGAGGAGCAGGCTGTGCTGTTGGGTTATCTAATTTTTTCTCTCCCAGTGGTCCTAGCCATAGCAAGCCTGTCTGTCGGAAGAACCTTGCTTTGCGACTGTATGTATGTAATTTTTGTCAGGGGTGGATGCAGGCAGGGAGAATAAGTAAGGAGGCAAAATTACAGGAAAGGAGGAGAAAGAGAAAAATCCCTCTCTGTTCACTACTTTGCACACCAAGTGCCCTTCCTTTAGGCTGATTGAGAAGAGCGACTTCCTCTGGAGAAGGGATGAACAGCAGGAACCTCAATTTTGTGTTCCTGCTTTACCTCCGGAAAGATGGCCTCAGAACCTTGACCGTCATCCTTGACCTTCATGTACAAGCACCCAGCTTGCGTGGGGAGGGGCGGTGGGCCCCTGGGTGTTGGACACATGGGCTGAGATTGGTTGGTGGAATGAGTGGTGTTTGACAGGGAGAAGCAGGACTGAGCTGATCCAGCCTTTGGCCACATCTTACCTTGTAAAACATTCTTCCAGTTCCTCCATGAATATCACAAACCCAGGGGGCAGGATTTTTTTTTTTTTTCTATTTTCTTGTTCGAGAATCTGAAAATGAAGGTGTCATATCCACTACTATTAACAGGTTAAAGAAAAAATGTTGTTAATATTTATGGACTATGAAAGATAAAAGGAGGCAGGAGAATAGACAAGCTGTATGTGAAGAAAGCGTAGCCATAACTAAGCATCTAGAAGCCAGGGAAGAGGAGGAAGCTAGGGTCGAACTCACCGTTCTAAAGGTTTGGAAAAGTATTGTTGTGAGTGATGGCCTTCTCTCCTTCATAATGAAGACCGGGGCTGACAAAACCACTCATCTTGTGTATCTTGTCGGGGTCAGGAGTGGATGAGCTGGAAAAATTAAGCTCCTCCTTTTCTTCAGTGCCATTCTACACCATCCTTAAGAATTCTAGAAATTTCTTCCCTTCTGTAAACTACGTTTTCGGTCTCTGCTGCTGTGCATACACGATGGCTACTGGTATTGTCTCTCTCTCTGTAAACAAATATAGATCAAAAGAGTTACTGGTCTAATGAATTGTTCACATTTATTAAAGTGCATCTCCTCTTTGCAACCACAAGAAGAAGTCTCCAGGGAGAGTAGATTAGCGGTTGAATTGATATTATCTTCCAGAAGGAGGCCGAAGATAGAAGAGCGGAATGTAGGCAGGATGAGGGGGCAGGCAACCTCACACGGGGTGGGTGTCTGAGGCTCACCTGTGGCTGTGAATGGTATGTCTGTGGCCATGACACAAAATCCATTGTGTGGTGAACTTTTGGGGGATTGTGAACCCAGAGACGTGTGTTCAGGAGCCTTTGGCTGTGTCCTTGATGTTCTCCAACCACCTTATTTTTTCTTTTCACTTCGTAGCGCTTTCGGCTTAGGTTGGTAGAAAAGGGACTGACTGCACGTGTTGTCCCCTTGTTGAAACTCTCCACGACTGCCCCAGGCCATGTGATGGCTTTGCTTTCTGTGCTCACCAGCACTTGCTCATGCTTCTTAGTACACTTTATCTGAATTTTGTTTATGTGCTCTGTTTCCCTAAGAAGTTTGTGAGCTCCTCAAGGGAGGGAGAGATGTTTTATTCATCTTGGAATCATTTATATACCTAGCATGGCGACTGGCACATAATAGATAACTCAGAAAATATTAAATGAATGAAGGGAGAGAAGAAGTGAAATATTAATTAGTCAACGATGCTACTGTTTGTCCTGGTGGGTATGGGAAGTGTTGGAATTATACTGTTAGATGAGATCAAGAATGTCAGAGCTTTGTGACGCTTTAGAAAGCATCTGCTCTGGCCTCATTTAATAAAGATGAAGAAACTGAGATCCAGGGACATTAAGTGATTTGCCTAAGGTTGTGTAGTCCCTTGGTGCCAATGCCTTGTACACCACACCACTGTGAGAGTGACATGTGGAGATATCTGTGGGTCTCAAATGTCCACATTAGTGCTTCTCAAACTTTATTGTATATCGGAATCATCTGGGGATCTTGTTAAAATGCACATTCTGATTCGGTAGATCTGAGGTGGGGCTCAGCATTCTGTATGTCTAACAAGCTCCTAGGTAGTGCCAAAGTTGCTGGACACCATGGGTCTACACCCTTCCTCCACGTAATTATAGACCATAGCTGACATTGGTAGTTCTGCATGTATTCTACTTTTGCGACTCCCAGCAGTTCTGCTTTGTCTTTAAAAAAAAAAATCAGAGCATTCACCCTTTTCCTCTCTTCTTTCATTCTTCCACCCATATACGTTTTTTGCCTCTTCCCTTTTCATCCTCTATGGTCTTATTCTGGTCCTTCTCAAAACTGATTCTTTTCTGTCTTATTTTTTTATGTCTTC